CAATGTAGTAAACATGGCGGCATCAGTAGTAATACTATATTTGTATGGGTGTCATGACCCGGTATGGACAATGTAGTAAACATGGCGGCATCAGTAGTAATACTATATTTGTATGGGTGTCATGACCCGGTATGGACATTGTAGTAAACATGGCGGCATCAGTAGTAATACTATATTTGATTTGGCAATGCAGGCCATACACAAAAAGGATCATTGATAGAACATCACGCATGATCTGTCATGGCGGTCGTTTCTAGTTTTTCCCCAAGACAGACTTGGCAATTTTGTGAAAGAGTTTTTTTCATCGGTATTGACTCGTTTTTTCAACAATTATGCAATATTTTGATAATATTATACTCATATAAGGTGTGAATCATATGTAATCTTACAGATTAACACTTTTGATTTTGCTCCATTAGTTCTTTATTGGACACTGACATTGAATCCAAAATGTATTCTCTTGTCGTTGGGTTGGGGTGAAGTCTAATTATAAAAAAAAAAGCAAATTTCTTCACAATTGGATAAATAAAATAATGGAAGTAGTAGGTATTATTATTTTATTTTTTTTTCAACAAATGAAGATTGAATATTCTCAATGTTTTTAGATGATTTTTTTTCTAACCTGTGTTAACAAGGACATCCCTTGATTTTTAACTTCTTTGAATTATGATTACTTTTTGCCTTTGATGGAAGTTTTGTGATATATTTTCTTTTAAATGTTGTTAGCTTTATCTGGACCGTTTGTCACATGTAAACCTCCCTCAAATTCTTTAAAACATCAATAAATCTCCAATTTTGGTTCCAACAAAGTAATAAGAGGCTTCAGAATAACACAAATGAGATAATACAATGTTATATGCAGTATTATTTCTGTTTTAAATGTCTCAAATTTCTCAATAATTCAGAGAAACAATCTCACTATTTTTGACCAAAACTCACTAAAAAATTCACTGATCTCACTATTTTGCTCAGAAAGTTATGGCATGTATGATGGCACTTGAGGTGACTGAAAATAGTGTTATAGGATTTTCGTGTTGAGGAGATTTGTCAGTATATTTCAGCATGGTGTTGCCGACCCATTTTAAAGACACTTGTGACATTGTCCTTTAGCCAGTCTGATTTACAACACAGGTTCTGTTATCCGTTTTATCCCAAGTTTATAGATAATAATTGGGTCAGTGACACCGATTTTCAATTTTTGAACTAGGAAAGTTCAAATCCAGACTAATGCGACTTTGACACCAGTGATGTGGCAGTAGGAAGATGATTAACCATAGTCTTAATGATTTTATCTCTAGGTTGGCACGGACAAACAGCTCTCCACAAAGCTTGTCTGATGGGGGACTGGTCCATCTGTTTCCTACTACTGGAGGCTGGATCTGACCCCAATGCTCTGAATGAATTTAATGAAACACCTGTCCACTACGCTTGTAAGCGGGGATTAGCCTCCAATGTCCACCTGTTGGTGCAAAGGAATGGAAACCTGAGGGCTTTAGACAAGAATGGTCTTAGTGGGTTCCACCACTGTTCACAGACAGGCAGTGTGTAAGTCAAATACCAGGCTAGCTCTCAGGACACTGTATATGTTGTCAATGATAAACTCTCAGGACACTCTGTATATGTTGTCATTGATAAACTCCCAGTCCACTCTGTATATGTTGTCAATGATAAACTCCCAGGACACTCTGTATATGTTGTCAATGATAAACTCCCAGGACACTCTGTATAGGTTGTCAATGATAAACTCCCAGGCCTCTCTGTATAGGTTGTCAATGATAAACTGCCAGGCCACTCTGTATATGTTGTCAATGATAAACTCCCAGGACACTCTGTATAGGTTGTCAATGATAAACTCCCAGGACACTCTGTATATGTTGTCAATGATAAACTCCCAGGACACTCTGTATATGTTGTCAATGATAAACTCCCAGGACACTCTGTATATGTTGTCAATGATAAACTCCCAGGACACTCTGTATATGTTGTCAATGATAAACTCCCAGGACACTCTGTATATGTTGTCAATGATAAACTCCCAGGACACTCTGTATATGTTGTCAATGATAAACTCCCAGGACACTCTGTATATGTTGTCAATGATAAACTCCCAGGACACTCTGTATATGTTGTCAATGATAAACTCCCAGGACACTCTGTATATGTTGTCAATGATAAACTCCCAGGACACTCTGTATATGTTGTCAATGATAAACTCCCAGGACACTCTGTATATGTTGTCAATGATAAACTCCCAGGACACTCTGTATATGTTGTCAATGATAAACTCCCAGGACACTCTGTATATGTTGTCAATGATAAACTCCCAGGACACTCTGTATATGTTGTCAATGATAAACTCCCAGGACACTCTGTATATGTTGTCAATGATAAACTCCCAGGACACTCTGTATATGTTGTCAATGATAAACTCCCAGGACACTCTGTATATGTTGTCAATGATAAACTCCCAGGACACTCTGTATATGTTGTCAATGATAAACTCCCAGGACACTCTGTATATGTTGTCAATGATAAACTCCCAGGACACTCTGTATATGTTGTCAATGATAAACTCCCAGGACACTCTGTATATGTTGTCAATGATAAACTCCCAGGACACTCTGTATATGTTGTCAATGATAAACTCCCAGGACACTCTGTATATGTTGTCAATGATAAACTCCCAGGACACTCTGTATATGTTGTCAATGATAAACTCCCAGGACACTCTGTATATGTTGTCAATGATAAACTCCCAGGACACTCTGTATATGTTGTCAATGATAAACTCCCAGGACACTCTGTATATGTTGTCAATGATAAACTCCCAGGACACTCTGTATATGTTGTCAATGATAAACTCCCAGGACACTCTGTATATGTTGTCAATGATAAACTCCCAGGCCACTCTGTATATGTTGTCAATGATAAACTCCCAGGACACTCTGTATATGTTGTCAATGATAAACTCCCAGGACACTCTGTATATGTTGTCAATGATAAACTCCCAGGACACTCTGTATATGTTGTCAATGATAAACTCCCAGGACACTCTGTATATGTTGTCAATGATAAACTCCCAGGACACTCTGTATATGTTGTCAATGATAAACTCCCAGGACACTCTGTATATGTTGTCAATGATAAACTCCCAGGACACTCTGTATATGTTGTCAATGATAAACTCCCAGGACACTCTGTATATGTTGTCAATGATAAACTCCCAGGACACTCTGTATATGTTGTCAATGATAAACTCCCAGGACACTCTGTATATGTTGTCAATGATAAACTCCCAGGACACTCTGTATATGTTGTCAATGATAAACTCCCAGGACACTCTGTATATGTTGTCAATGATAAACTCCCAGGACACTCTGTATATGTTGTCAATGATAAACTCCCAGGACACTCTGTATATGTTGTCAATGATAAACTCCCAGGACACTCTGTATATGTTGTCAATGATAAACTCCCAGGACACTCTGTATATGTTGTCAATGATAAACTCCCAGGACACTCTGTATATGTTGTCAATGATAAACTCCCAGGACACTCTGTATATGTTGTCAATGATAAACTCCCAGGACACTCTGTATATGTTGTCAATGATAAACTCCCAGGACACTCTGTATATGTTGTCAATGATAAACTCCCAGGACACTCTGTATATGTTGTCAATGATAAACTCCCAGGACACTCTGTATATGTTGTCAATGATAAACTCCCAGGACACTCTGTATATGTTGTCAATGATAAACTCCCAGGACACTCTGTATATGTTGTCAATGATAAACTCCCAGGACACTCTGTATATGTTGTCAATGATAAACTCCCAGGACACTCTGTATATGTTGTCAATGATAAACTCCCAGGACACTCTGTATATGTTGTCAATGATAAACTCTCAGGACACTCTGTATATGTTGTCAATGATAAACTCCCAGGACACTCTGTATATGTTGTCATTGATAAACTCCCAGGACACTCTGTATATGTTGTCATTGATAAACTCTCTGGACACTCTGTATATGTGTCAATGATAAACTCCCAGGCCACTCTGTATAGGTTGTCAATGATACTTTCATTGTTGAAATATGGCACTTCTTCAAAATTAAGTTTTATGCACCACAGTAGTTATATAAACATACATGTTTGAATTATTAACTTTTTTAATTCTATGATTAAAACTATTTTTTCCAAGCACATACAATACAAAGCCTGCCCTTATCTTTGTTGATATTTTTCAATTAAGAACTGAAGAGTTGGAGACATAAATGAGTATGAATTTCTGTAATTTTTGTTTAGTTTTTCTCTCTATGTTGTTTCAGATTTGTTATGCTGTATCTTGAATCCCAAGGATTTAGTTTCAAGGATCTGGACAAAAATCTACAATCTCCTCTTCACATCGTTTGTCAATATGGACATGTGGACGCCTTCAAATTTCTCACAAAACACAACGTATGTCGTTATTAGGATTGTAAATTGAACACGTTTCTCACAAAACACAACGTATGTCGTTATTAGGATTGTAAATTGAACACGTTTCTCACAAAACACAACATATGTCGTTATTAGGATTGTAAATTGAACACGTTTTTAACCATTTATACATTTATACACAACCAGAACACTATTATACAGTCAGATAAATGTAATTTATTAACTGCACAATGAAACATGAATCAATATTGTGATCATATGAGTTATCACTTCTAATTAAATCTAATAACATTTGCAACATCATGCATTCATATAACACAAGTAAACTTTGGCCTTGGGGGCTATATCATCTACACTTATTATATACAATGCCTACAACTGGGGAAAACTCCCAGATTACTGACGTGATCCCAACCAGGAGCAACATGCACCCCTGATCCCACGGCTGGAGGAGTTTTCCCTTGATCATACAGACTCTTATTAGAGATAGTTCCCGGCAATCCTCAATCCTGTAGATGGACCATACACAGCTGTACATCATGATGCCACTTACTTATATGGGATATGAACCTGGAAAAACCTTGAGTCTGTATGATATCTAGCTCTATTGTATATAGACCTTATGTAGGACGTCTCCTGAAACCATGGATTCGGACCATAAGATCCGTGGTCAAATTGATACCGAATCCTCATTATGATTCCTTATGTGGAAAATCCTCGATCTATAATGTGTTACCTAAATTGTATAGGTACCTTATTGTAGGTATAGAGTCTGTAATTTAACATGGGGGCTGAATACACCACATTATATGTGTTGTATACCTACCTTAAACCCTATACCTCTTGTATTGTGATTATGTAAGCAGCTGTTCAAGCTGTACCCATATGATATAGCCCGTAACATATGTCTATGTGGAAGACATAATGCTAAATATGGGTACTTTGCACTAGACACATAAGATATGTTCATTAAATTTTAAATTATCATGGACTTGCTACTATATCAAGTCTACATGCATATCAGACATATACATGCCTGGTCCTATGTAAATTCTGACTTACATAGACAACATAATTAATTATATTATAATTTACATAAGGTGATGCTTGGGGAATGGCTGGTTGTTAGATTACGATAATTAATACGTCCGCACTCTGTGCTATTTTCTGAAACTATGTGGATGACACGGGCACATGACGCTGACCTCTCATTAATTATGCATGCTAATCTGCTTGACCAATGATAATTGAAACTGACCAGGGTCCAGTTTGCCTAGAGACATATCTTCTCCAATCAGCGACCAGCTTACTAATTGATTACCATATCTTACGTATATACCCATTAGCTATATATAGAAACATGCTACAATCACGTGATGGCCTATTACTATACATGTACACACTTGCCCCAGTACATGGATAAGACATGTATACCCTAAATTATAACAAGTTATATATATATATATAAATAAATGATAAAACAATAACAGAAAACATCACTTCATGATATCTGAATATTTTATTGGTTTCACAGTTTGTATATTATCTAATGGACATATTCACCTGATTGTGAAGATTTACCCAATACGTTTTAGACACCGATCATTCAAGGGTTGATTCCAATAAGCAGTATATATATATATCTAAGGTCTTAGTTTATGTTTCACAGGCACAAAACTTGCAAAATAAAAAATAGAAAACTATTGTTCACATAAAAAAGGAAGTTTGGTTGTAATTTCAGAGGAGCGATTTTGAGCAGGAAGACATTGATGGTAACACGCCACTGCACATAGCGGCCAGGGAAGGACAAAGCCATCTTACCTGGCTCATCCTCAGTAGAAGTAGGTGTAGCATTCTCCATAGGCGCAACAAGGCCGGTTTTACGCCTCTAGACCTTGCAAAGCAGCGTGACAAATACGGGTAAGTAGTAGTTTCTGTCTCCAGATCAAATATATGTCATGACAGAAGTACCAGAAAGTACTAGATGCTCCCCATGGTACCTAGATATGCATATCAAATTTTGAGGAGATTGGAAAACCAAGATGGCCCACAGGCAGCCATATTGAATTTTCAGAGTTGTAGTTTGTGAGCACTCTTCCTCAAATGATGCTGGCATGATCTGTTTTGTATTACACATGCAGGTTTCCCGTGGACGTTACTTATGATTATTAATTTTTGGTTGATTGGAAAAACAGAATGGCCACCAGACAGCCATCTTAAATTTTGACAGTTCAATTCTGTTATAACTATTTTACAAGAATTACTGGACAGATCTTTATCAAATTTCATATGTTGATTTTTATCTAGCTCTTAAGTTGTGCATGTTTCATTTTGAGACTGAAAGAAAAAACAAAATGGTCTCCAGGCAGCTATCTTGGATTTCGACAGTTCCAGTGTGTTATCACAATTCCACAAGAAGTACTTGACAGTTTTTTTAGGTCACCTGAGACAAAGTCTCAAGTGACATATTGCGATCGCCTTTTGTCCGGCGGTGTCTGGCGTGCGTCCGTAAACAATTTATATTTTCGACTTCTTCTCCAAAACCCCTGAACCAATTTCAATGAAATTTTGCAGGAACCTTCCATGGACAAAGGTCAACAAAAAAAGTGGCCAGTTTAGTCCCAAGCCCCCAAACCTGAGGGGCAAGGCCAAAAAAGGTCAAATTGACTAAAATTTCAAAAATCTTCTTCTCAAGACCCAGATATGGTAGAATCAAATACTCTTCATAGATGGAAGGGTCTTAAGGTGCTTTACCAAAATTGTGAATTTCTTGACCCTGGGGTCTCACGTTTCCCCCTGGGGAGGGGGTAAACTTTACTATAGTTTATATAGGGAAATCACATTTTGGACCAACATTTGTTTAATTTCCATTGGAAGTAATTCAATTTGGGTTAGCATTATCAGTATTAGGTAGCAGTTTGATAGTATG